GCTCCAGCCATCTGCAGCATTTGAGGCCTCCCCCCCCCCGCGCCCGACTGCCCACTTGAATGGAGAACTCTGCTGCTAAGTCCCACTGGCCATTTGGCTCATATCCTATTATTGCAGAAGAGAGCCCTGAAGCCAAAGGCACACAGCTGGCCAGAGCCTAGTTGAGGCTGGACTGGTCTTCCTACAGGGTGCCCCGATCCCTCCCCAATGCTGCTCCCTTCTCATCCTGCTGCAGAAAGAGCATGTACTCCTGCAGTCATGGCAACTTGGGTTTGATTTGGCCTTACTACCCGCTGGCTCCTGACTTTAAACACATTGCGCATCCTCTCGCGGTGACATTTCCTCCATTTACAAAACATGGACTATCACAAACTGTCCAGGGTTACTATGAAGATAACATGAAACAAGCCAGCCAGGGTCTGGCCTGTCATAGATGCCCGATGCTATCTGCCTTTGCCCTTCACTGTAAATGCTCATCCAAGTAATAAAAATGGAAGCAGCTCCCATTTATTGAAACTGGTCTAAGCACTTTACATGTAGTAGCTCATTTATTCCTCTTTCTATAAAGACAGAAGTATTTTTTTTCTTGACTCCCTAAAGCTATCTATCCTCACAGCCACTAGACTGCCTGGTCTAGCATCATTTCAACAGAATTTGCTGATTTCAAACAATATGTTACTGAAATCATTTCTTGTTTTCGATTGCTGGCTCATAGCAGACCGTTGGCTTGATATGGTAAAATGTGTTTTAAAAAACTAAATGTTGTTTCCTTGGCTTTTAGCATGTATGAGTGTGATCCAAAACTGAACTGAAGGTTAACTCCTGCAGAGAAGGGGATAAGATGTAAGTGGGTACAGATGGGAATGGCCCCAGTGGACTTAGAAATGAGGGTGGAAGAAGCTAGTATTGGGATACAGGTACAACAGCATAACAGTCAGAAGTAAAACACATCAGAATTTTGCTGCAAATTTCAAAACTTTAGTTGGTACCAATCACACAATTGTCTTGGGACCTCTCACCACCACCTCACCCCCGGCTACCCTGAAGTTGTCCCAGGGCCCAGAAGGCACCTGTCCAATCTCACGGTTTCCTGCTCCCTCCTCTACTCTTTTGTTTGCTCTCCCTTGGAACTCCTACTGAGTCTCCAAGAGTCATCTCAAATGTCACCTCCTCCAAGAAGCCATCAGAGGTCCCCACTGTGATCGGGATACTCCTGAGCCCACACTGTATGCTCTTGGCTATAGTTCACATATCTCTGCAAGTTCCTGAAGGGCATTCTCCAAGTCCCTAACATGTGTATACCTCTAATATCTAGTAAAGACCTCAGCATGGAGTTGGCATATAACAGGTACTGGTTGATTCAATGACTAAGCTAAGAATGAGCATGCCTGTCTCCCTCAGGTAAGTAGCCATGGTAAGATGTAATAATTTATCTTACCACCAGATACCAGTACATGGTTCCTGGCTTCTTTTATATATTGTAACATTTTCTATATTGTCTCCTGAATATTAAGCATCCACTGCCATTCAGGCAAAATTCAGCCATTGCACCTACATATCTCTCTCCTAGTTCTCTAAAGGAGAACTTAGGTCTGTCCAGGGAACACTGCTTGGAAGGGACAGACCTAAAGTCTAAGGCGAGGTCTGCCTGACACTTCTGCTTGAAGCATGCTGTTTTCCAGAAAGGGCAATCGCCCCTAGTTCTTGAAGCAGAGCCTCCCCTGCATTTTGGCCTGTCTGCTCCTCTTTTAAGCCCCTGGAGCGATCAGAGCTCACAGCTCTGCTTCCTGCCCAGACTTCTGTCTCCACTGCCAGGAGCTACGGTGGAGCCAGAGTGTGCAGAGCCGAGGTTCAGGGCTGATGCCAGGGCAACTGCACAGGCTTTCAGGAAGCGGGCCCTGCTCTGTCTGATTGCTGAGTGATGAAACCCTGCCCAGCTTTAACAAATCCAGAGCCACTAGTGAACATGCCCAGCATGGTCCTGGAGAATGAACCCTGGACAATAAATATCTCTCCCATTGGTGTTCGTTTTCAGAGCACAGGACTAACTAGAGACAGCTGCCACATTCCCTGAAAGTCTCCTGTACAAGTTCCACCCTTCACTTGTTGCTCTGTCATCTCAGAACATGGGACTCCTGGGTGCCTACTAAGTGCTTAGCAGCCTGCTCCTCATGCCACAGGAAATCCTGCTACAGTTACCACTGGAAATGCTAGAGGAAGCCAACCTAGACCCAAGAAGATAGGCAATCCTGCAGATATCTCCCCTTCCCCAAGTCTCTCCCGGGCATCTACTATGTGTTAGGTTCTGTGCTGGGAGCTGGAGACAGCAGTAAATATGTGTTAGGTTCTGTGCTGGGAGCTGGAGACAGCAGTAAAACTAGACAATTCGACAATTCTTTCCCTTGTCTAAGGAGGAGGTAAGCACAGATTAAGCAGGTACAATGACACGCACTGCGGAGTAGAGACAAAAGGGGAGAAACCTGGTTATTGTTGTTGTTGTTATTGTGATACTCAATGGAGTGGTCAGGAAAGGCTCCAAGCCAAAGAAACCTCCCTCTCTGTCTGTCTGTCTGTCTGTCTGTCTGTCTGTCTGTCTGTCTGTCTCTCTCTCTCTCTTTGTCTCTCTCTGTCTCTCTCTCTGTCTGTGTCTGTGCCTCTCTGTCTCTCTGTCTCTCTCTCTCATACACACACACACACACACACACACACACACACACACACAAACACACACACACTGATAGTCTCGGGGTCTGAGCAGCCAACCATGTGACACGAGAATTCCTGTCCCCAGCTTCTGCATTACAGGGCCACTCCATCAAGGATGGTGAAGGCTTCTCCACAGATCAGGCGGTTAGAGGAAAGCCTTTCTGATGGACTGCTTGGTGTCACGAACTCCCCAGAAGTAGCTTCTCAAGTCTACAGGTAGAAAAACAGCCCACTGCACACCTTGTTACAGGGCCAGAAAGGCCCAGGCCACAACCAAAATCACAATCCACCTGGGGTCACTTTGAGTCCCTAGGGCACAAGTCTTCGGTGGGCGTGACTGGCAAAACCTGACATGGAGAAACAGTATGCTCCAGTGGGAAGACCCTGTTGTCCCTGCCCCACAAAACTCATGCCCATGCCTGCCGTGGAGGTTGCAGCCAGGTGGTGTGTCCTCAGCATGCAGAATCAGGTTAAACCTTATCTACCTGAACCATCTGGGAAGGCTCCTCTTCCACTCTCCCAGCTTCTAGGAGACATAGAACTTGGGGGGGGGCGGGGTTCAGGGTAGGAGATAAGATTCTTACTCAGATTTTTTTCTGGTAGGAGCTTGGCCCAGAATCAGAGAGGAAGGGTTCCCCATGGCTTCATGCTCACTTAGACTTTGAAATTGCTGACTTCCAGCATGAGACTGCTCTTTACAGTTCACTCCTCATTTTAAATATAGGAATGAAAGCCATTGCTAGCTCAGGTCTGCTGTGATAGCGGAAGGGAATCCTGGCTGTCAGATGGCAATTCAACGTGCTTTGAAAACCAATCGTCCAATGCAGAGTTGCATTGGAGAGGCTGTGCGTCATGCGACTTAGCGCTGATACTTAGATGTAACCTTGAACTTCAGTCTAGCACTGGAAGTTGTTCATCAGTGATCAGCCAAACAAACAAACAAACAAAAAACCAACTGACCATCGGAGTTGCTGCCTGAATCCTCTGGCCTCTGTGGACTATGCTTGAGGTTCTGAAAAGGCCTTGTAGAAGCATATGTTAACAACATTCTGCACTTGCCTCAAGTGGGAGACAGTCTGAAGGACAGCTGAAAAGCCCCCACCCCCAATATGGAATGTGTTAGAGAGGAATAATTCAGAATTACATGATAGCAAACATCAGCAGAGTAAGACTGAGGCGAGGGTGGCATCTCAGACAAGAAACCACTAGAGTAGCCAATCAGAGATCTAGGCAGACCAGCATCAAGCCAACACCTGTTGAAACCGTGGCAACTCTGCCATCCCGGGAAAAGCTTTGTCAGCAACAAAATCATTATTTTGAGATTACTGCCCATGAGCGCACACCAGCCTTCCCTGCGTGGGTAGGGAAGCCTGAGCCCACCGGAGGGGCATTTACACAGAAAATGCTGGACAGGCTTGCACCACGCTGAGGTCTGGCACCAGAGCTCTTCTGAGACAGACTGCACAAGGCAGCTACCTTCTGCCTGGCATCTGTGTTCTCCAGACCCACAGTGTGGGGGAAGCAGCACAGCAAATGGCTTACAAATCCCTAGCACGGCTTTTCTTGGCCCTGGCTGTTGCACTCGTGACATTCCCCCGCCCCCCCCCGCAAACTTTCGCACCTGCAGGGTATTCCTCCAACCAACTAGAGCCACACTAATGCCTTACAGGAGCGGGGTAGGTGGGGGAGTCCCAGCTCATAGAGCATTTTTTCCAAAACAGCAGAAGGATGCCACTGCCTCAAAGGGGGCCCACAACTTTGGTGTTCGCCAATGTCCCAGGAGTTTTCTCCTGGATTTTGTGTCGAACTCCGAAACCATAAGCTGCTTGGGATTTTAAACTGTCTGAAGAACTCCTCAGGGTTCTCCTGTTCGGACATTGTTTAAGGATTTTGTATTGGTTCCTCTCAAAGACAACAAGCATCCACTTAAACAACTCTAAAACCCAGACAGAGAGCAGTAGTAGCTTTGAGTCCCATGAACCTCGGATGAGGTTAGGGGGAGAGGAACCACTATTCAGAGATGGGAGCTGACACTGGAAGGAACTGTAAGAGGAGAACCCAATAGTATTAAGGTGACTTCCTAGACAGAGCTAAGCCCAAGTTTCTTACCACCTAAAGACTCAGGGAACTCAAGAGTGGCTCTGCCTGGGCACTGAGGAGCAGTGGCACCCAGTTAGGAAGTGGTGACACTCACAGGGACCTGGTGTCCAGTCCCTAGGGGCCCAGCTAAGAGCCTCAGGACTCTTAGGAAGCGCGGGGTCAGAAAGGGCGGGTTCGCGCGGAAAGCAACTCACTGAGGAGAAGTTGTGCGGGCCACAGAGCTCGCCCCGGTACTTGCAGGAGAGCAGCATGTCCTCCAGCTGGTGGCCCAGGCGGTCCATGAAGGCAGCGCTGATACCCTCGAAGTGGCGCGGCGGCAGGAAGAGGCGGAAGTCGGCCAGCTTGCGGAACCACTGGCGGCGCGGCTCGTCGCCCCTCAAAAGCTCGCTGACCAGCGGGCGCGCGGTACGGTTGGGCAGCAACAGCCCCAGCCAGTGGCCGGCGTAGTAGAGGTCCCCCTTGGAGAGGCGCGGGAAGCGCAGCGGGTTGTTGTTGCACACGGTAACGGCAGGGAACGGCAGCTGGCGGCTCCACTCGCGGTGCACTCGAGTGTGTGACGGGAAGCTGAGCCAGTAGAGCAGGCGGTTCGAAGACCAGGACAGCAGCAAGCCCAGGGACGTGCAGAAGGCCAGCACCCACAGCGCTCGCCGCTGGAAGGAGCCTCCCGCCGCCGTGCGCCCCGCGCACATGTGCCGCAGCCCGTGCAATTTAGTGCGACTCAGTGACGGCCGCCCCCTGCGGGCGACCCCTGGCCCCTGCAGTGCCCGATCGCCACTCCGGTCGCCCCCGGGCTGCCTGGCTGCCGCCACCGCCGCGGGCGCCGGCTGCTCGCGGGCCATACGGAAGCGTCCCGGGCCGGTGAGCGCGGTCGCGGGCAGCTGGGCTCCGCCGCTCCGGCTCATTCATTCAAACCGAGTCTGGCGACAGCGGTGGCGGCCCCGACCGGGCGGAGCCGCCATGGGAGTCCGCAGCAGCAGTGGGAGTAGCAGTAGCCGCGCGCAGCCTGCGCCAGGGAAGCCTGCGCCCGACAAGATCCCCGGTGGCGCGGCATGCCCTCCCGGCGTTGCCGCCGCCGCCTCCGCGGGCGCTCGCCCGGGACTGAGTGCAATCTCGGCCCGCCGCCCCTGGCTCTGGCCTCTCCCGAGCACCTCCCAGGCTCTGCTGTCTCCGAGTCTTCCAGGAGGATGCGAGTCACCGGGCACTACCTCCAGAGGGGTCCCAGTGGGAGTCGCCTTTCCAATCCCTTGGCACTGTGCCCGCCGACCTCCCCTCGTCCTGGACCTCGGGGGACCCTGAGCTGAGTCCCCACTGCACCGACTAACCCCAGTTTTTACGCTGATCCCGAAAGAGGGTCTACAGGACCATCGTGCCTGGTTTGGACAGTCCCGGAGAACCCACCAGTCTGGCCCGTAGCTCAGCGGCACTGGGACATGCGAGAGAAGGCGCCAAGGAACGAGCGCCCCCAGAGGCGCTCCAAGGCTCCAGGCACGGCGGGTGGGGTGGGTGTGTACTGGGGTGAGTGGTCGCCGAGTGGCGACTTCCTCCTTCCCTTTCCTCCAGTACCCTTCTTTCTTACGGTTGCTGGGGCTGCCTTCCGCCAAGACGTTTCCAGGCTTCCCCAAGTACAGTTCTTGAGTCCCGCGAGGTGTCTACAGTCGTCTGGGGCTGGGGGGCTTCTTTGGGCGTCCTGCAGAAAGGCACTCGCCGCCGGGCCCCTCCAAGGTTGCTGGTCCTGGGGAACTATCCTTTTTCCCCTTCGCACGGACCGTCTCCAGAAATGCCCAGCTATGCTGTTCCTTGCCTCTTCTCCGCCCTGGGTGCCAGGAGCTGGAAACTGCCGAGCCCAGGCAACATCTCCTGGGGCTAATCGGGACTCACTGCTGATCGAGCTCTGCTCCGTGGGCCGGTCTCGTCTCGAGACTCCAAGTCCTCGATGGCGGTGGTATTGACAGCGTCGGCGGCTGCGCTTCTCTATCGGTGGCCCGGCCCTCTTTGGGCCCCGGGCGAACTTGGGCAGCAGCCGCTCGAGGCTGGCGCGGCTGGGTGCTGAGCACCTGCTACTGCGCTCGCTGGCCTGGCGGCTCCGGGCGGGAGGGGCGGCGGCGGCCGCCGCGAGTGCTGTGCGCTCCTGGAGAGGCGGTGCTGACGCTCCCAGCTCCTCCTTGCTGCATTTTAATTCCTGGCCACTGTGGCCGCTGCACACCGAGCGGGAAGCATCTTTCTGGAGTTGCGGGGAAGAGGTGGGGGAGAGCAGATGTGGCCGGTTGTGCCGGCTTGTGGAAGAGAGTGAAAGTAGTAAAAACATTGTCTATGTGCTGCCTTGTGCAAAGAAGTGAGGGACGCCTGGGCGTGTGAGATGGACTAGAGAGAGAAGGGACTGTGCAGCGTGGGCACTTGAGCAAGTGTGAGTGCAGTGTCGTGCAGGAGCTGTGTAGGATGTGAACTGTTTATATGTGAACGGGCATTTGTGCCAAACTCCCGAATTCATGAAACTGCCTGTGGGTGAAGTACTGCAGCTGCTGGAATGTGTCATATGTGGAAAAGTGCCTAGAATGAGCTGTATGTTCTGCATATGCATATCCTTGTGGTAGGTATGAATGAGTGTAGTTTCTGATTTACATGTGTATGAATTTTCAGAAAGGGCTATGTGCCCAGTTGTTGGGAGGAGTTACAGGACTTCTGGCAGGTTGGGCTCAAGGGGACAGCCACTCTCCTCTGCCTCTAGAAACTACTCAAGTGCTCCAGCCCCTTCTCTGAAGGTTTCAGTCAAGCTAAAGTAGCTTTCACTGGGGGTGGAGGGAAGGGAAGGGTGGGGAAGGGGATGGCTTCCCTAGGCAAGAGGCTTTATTATTTCCACCTATTCTCCCTCTCAGCAGCACCCAAGTCTTTCACTAACCCCTGGACACTTTGATGCTGCCTTTTAAATACTCTGCCTTAACTTTCTGACTCCATTTCCCAAGTGATGTGAGAGAGGCCAGGGCTTGCCCAAGGCAGCACAACTGGGCAGTGGTTAGTTGGATGTCCACGGGGTCTTGCACTTTTCAGCCTTGTTTCAAGAGGTCTGTCCTGGCTGGTTTTGTGTGTCAATGTGTCACAAGCTAGAATCATAAAAGAGGAAGGAGCCCCTGCTGAGGAAATGCCTCCATGAGATCCAGCTGTAAGGCATTTTCTCAATTAGTGGTCTATAGTGGAGAGCCAGCCAATGGTGAGTGGTACCATCCCTGGGTTGGGGGTCCCGGGTTCTATAAGAAAGCAGGTTGAGCAAGCTATGTGAAACAAGCCAGTAAGCAGCTCCCCTCCATGGCCTCTGCATCAGCTCCTGCCTCCCGCTTCCTGCCCTGTTGTGTTCCTGTTCTGACCTCCTTTGGTGATGAACAGCAAGCAATGTGGGAGCATACACTGAAAACCCCTTTCCTCCCCAGCTTCATATTTAGGTCATGGTGCTTTGGTGTAACAATAGAAACCCTAACTAAGACAGGTCTTTTTCAAGACCCTGACATAGGGCTGGGGTCCTGCTCCTGTGGCTGCCTGGACTTGCAGGATATGTCATCCATGAGGAGCCTTATAAAATAATCAGATCTTCCTCTCATATCTAGGAACCCCAGCTACTCTACAGAATCAGAGTCCTTCAATGCTGAAGAGATCCTTGCATCCAGGTGCCTGAAGAAGTCCTCCAGTGACCCTTGTCTTCTCCAGGTTCTTTCAGCTGGTTTTTTTTTTCAGAGTTCTACTGTGAGAATGGGGTTCCTGAGTGCGGGTCTCCTTATGCTGAGGTCTCTAGCCTTGCACTGTGTGGTCATATGAATCCTACCCTGGATCTTGCCTTTCTCATCCCTGGTCTTTGTTCCAGGTATCTTGAGATCTATTGGCTTTCTTATGTCTGGGATTTTGTGGAAGTGATATGGATGGCAAGGCAGTCCAAGGACAATGGCTTCTTGGTGTCCTGGCCTAAAACACTAAGTGTGCTTTCCTTTGGAATAGTACCGCAGAATTATCTTGCTTTGCTTTGAGCATGGACAATGGGGCATCAGGGTTTTGTGGCTCTACTGCAAACTTACACCCCTCTTCTTTTTCTGAGTTTCTCCACTGTGCCTATCAGTGATTCTGCCCTCCTGTCATCCCTCTTCTTTCCTACTTCTCTCTTCTTTTGCTCTCCCCAGCCTGGGCCCAAAGCCTCACATCGCTCTTACACTTCCCTATTCCATGCTGTAGGTGGAATCCTGGAGCCCTGGAGGTGTCTACAGTGTCACAGGACCTGAGCAAATGACCAGCAGTTGCAATGGAGTTTATTTCACTGGTGTGAGGAGACTGAGAAAGGCTTCTTTGTGACCATAGCTCACCATGTACACTCATTTAACAACCCCTCACTCTGATGGCCTGACACTGTGACTGGCTCCATCCTTTGAACTTTGTCATTGTCACTGTGTGTACATACCTAACCAATTGGTGCTCTCTTCTTATGGTCTCTTCCTCACACTCCCCAACTGAATTATTTTATCCTATCCATCACTCATGGAGGCCTATGACTCCCAGAAGGAAGAGCATAGTTGCTGCAGTCTGCACAGGGCCAGAAGCTGTTAGCTACAGCACTGCAGTCCCCAAAGCTGAGAATTGGAGATGCACAGAAAACCAAATTCTTTCCTTTTGTTTCAGTGGAAGAAGCGTAGGAAATTGGGGTCTTTCTATAAAAGCAGGACCAAATGCAGGCTTGATGTTATGACTCATCCTCCATTCATCCTCTCAGACAGATTACTGTTTTTAAAATCCATTTGAAATGTTAGGGGGTAGCTTATTGATAAGAGTGTTTCCCTAGCATGTGTAAGGACCTGGGTTCAATCTCCAGCAATACACACACACACACACACACACACACACACACACACACACACACACTTCATTTTGAAATGAATACTGTATCTATTCTCTGAAAAACAAAGGGAGCTTCTGCAGTAATGTCTCTCCACATATGGAACCATTAATGTTTCCTTCCTGAAAGAACTGATGTGGTCAGTTTCTAGTGGGAGCTATAAATACACTATGTAGGTACAATCTTCATGTGACCCTCACTTTTTACCTGAAAGGTTGTGTTCAGTGAACACCATTGACCAGAGTAATTGCATTTCCTGTTTTCACATCTTTTTTTTTCTCTTCTGAATTTTCAGTGGTTTTATGGTTGCCTTTCTCTGGCACCTCATTCTAACTTCTGTTATTTTACCCAGTTTCTTATTTTGCATTATTCTGCTCACCCATCCACAAAGGGCAACAGGTTCTGTGACAAGGAGCTAAGCAGAGCAGGCCATTTTATTATCAGATTTTTCTTTTAACTCTTTGCCAGGTATGTTAACAGCTCATGTGGTTAATCTCAAACAGCAAGACAGGTGAAGATATTGTGTCTCTTAAGTTCATTATATTATGTATTTGCATAGAACTTAACTTTCTAGTTATGTTTTCTTTTGGCTAATCATAACTCTTTCTCTCTTACACACACACACACAGAGAGAGGGAGAGAGAGAGAGAGAGAGAGAGAGAGAGAGAGAGAGAGAGAGAGAGAGAGAGAGAGAGAGAGAGAGAGAGAGGTGACTGGTAGAGAAAACTACTTGGGACTTAGAAGTATCTGTAACCAATATACAGAGTGAGTAAGGCAGAACAGAGATCCAAAGAAGCCAAGGTCAAATACAATCTTAATGAGCAAGCAATTGAACTTAAACGAGGAAACTGAGGGTAAAGTATAGCAACTAGCTCAGATGGTAGCTGTGACAATGGTGATGGTGAAGCTGATGCTGATTAAACACTATGAATCTGTAACTAACATGACTCTCACGGGGCCATCATTGTAGCACAGGCAAGCTAAGTAGTATGACATCAGTGGCTGGGATAGGACCCAAGTAGCCTGGTCTACAGT